TTCTACATAAATCTCAAAAGTCAAAATATCTCAAAAATTCAAAATCAATTTTGAGAACATGTATAAATGGGACAATTGATTTTTAGCTGATCTATAGTATAGGAATTTCAATTTTTAATATAGAAATCCCCATTCAGTATAGTGATTCTTTTGTATTTGATTAGCATAGACAAGTATAAGTGATAAAGGATTTGATATTGTAGGTTTTATTCATAAGAGATAGAGATAAATGTGAGGCTTTATATCTACTAAGTACATCCAGAATTTTATAGAGGAATTCTAGTATGCTATAAGTACTAAATGTTCAAATAATTCACTAAAACATTGTGTTCTAATATGCTATAAGTACAAAACATTCAAATAATGCACTAAAACATTATGTTCTAGTATATTGATATTATTCTAAGAATACAATATAAACACCATTCATATAGTATTATAGAATGTTTTTATTTAATTTCTAATGTATATCAGGAAATTTAATTAGATATAAATTTCTGAAGGTTATGTGATATTTCCATAAATTTACACTTCTTGATAATACTGTATATGTTTTCAAAATTGATTTGAATTTTTAATATATTTTGTTCTTCAAACTTATACAAAATATATTGAAGTAAAAAATATATTTAATTAAGTGTATTTTTAATCAAATAATAGAAATTAAGTTTTAAAAAATTTTATCTTTTATATAAAATAATTTCATTTTCTATAAAAACTATTTTGACTTTTAGATTTCAAAATATTTTAACTTATCATAATAGTTTATTTTGCATGTAAATATAATCATTAATTATTATTATTAATATATTATAATTAATATTAATATTAATTTTAATTATTATTAAAAAGAAATGAAATATTTCTTATAATAATTAACCATATTAGAAAATTTTTAGAGACAAATATATTCAGATATATTTGTTTACTTATATATTTATTTACATAAATTACATTAATTCACATTTATTCATATTTATTTATATTAATTCATATGTTATATCAAATATATCCACATACATATATTCAGTTTTTATTAATTGCAAATATATCTACATATTATACCTGCCACCCAAATTCAAAATCCAAATGCCGAAATCCCAAATGCCGAAATCCCAAATCCCAAATCCCAAATTATGATTAGTATTTTTTGCCGAAATCCCAAATCCCAAATCTCAAATACTAGTAATTTGGAATTTTGGTGTCCCAAATCCCAAATGATTTGGGATTTGGGCAACACGTATACTACATATATTTGTGAGTGAAATTTTCCTGATGTATTTTTACCATTTAAAAAAAAAGTTATTATTATTCTTGATATTAATTTGATCTGGACCTAATAAGTAATTATTATAGAATAATTATTATATATTATCTTATTAATTTTTATTGTAATAATTATTAATAATAATTATTATTATAATTTGATAACAATTATTATTATGATAATAATAATAATTATAATTACTATAATAAATTATTAATTATTTTTTATTACTATAATTTTTATATTTAAAAATAATGAGAATACATATTACTATTTCAGTTACTGGTTATTACTTCAGTTACTGATTATTGTTTTAGTTACTAGTTATTACCTTATTATTTTTAAAAGCAAAGATAGTAATTAGATAACTACCTGACAGTAACTTGGAGGTTAAAATCATATCATTAATTTAGATAACATATATTATATATATTATATTTGTATTTGAAATTGAATTTTAAAAAACAAAATAAAATAAAGAACAAAATAAAATAAAAAATAAAATATTTTTTATATTATTTTATTTTAAAATCTGAAATTTTTTTATTATCCAAATAAATTTTTTAATTAAAAATATATTAAACTAGATATTTTTTTCTATTTTTATATAAAAATAAATATTTCAAAAATTTTAAAAATTTCAAAAAGTTGAAATATTTATTTTAGACATATAATATTAATATTTAAAATTAGTTTAAAAAAATTAGTTCAACTAAGTTTATATTTTAAATCAACTTAGTTAGTTTAGTTAGTTAAAGTTAAAATTTCATTACATAAATACAAAATTTATAAAAATATCAAATATTATATAAAAATTTATATAATTAATTAAATAAAACAATTTACAATTATATTAGAATTACATAAAAGTTAATTTTAAATAATAAAAATATAATAGATATCAACTAAAAAAATTATCTTATATTAATTGATTTTTTAAAAATCAGCTAATTAAATTAATAAATTTAATTAACTAAATTAGTAAATAAACTTTTAGTTTAAATATTATGTAATATAAATAAACTTATTTAAAATCAATTTGTAATTAATTTGTATTATTTAAAAATTTATTTTTATTATTATTTATCTCTTGTTTTTAACTTGTTCATATTCTTCTTTAATTAAAATTATATAAGAGTATTTTATAAATATTAACTTATATAACTTATTTTAAATTAATATAATATAAAAGAACAATTTTGTTAAATTATATTAGTAATATTTAATTTCAATAATTATTATCCAATAAAAATAAAATATATGATTTAATTTTAGATATATGGTATTTAGGTAATCAAAATTAGTTCATGTATAATAAATATTTAGTAACAAATATTAGATAACAAATATACTTTTCATATGTAAAAAAATTTTAAGTCCTTAGAATATCTAATAAAAATTAATATTTGAAGAATGTAAAATACAGTGATAAATACACTACCTTTAAAAATGTCTAACCTTAACTTTTGTAATATAGATTATAGTATTTAATACTACTAGTGTGATTTAAAATTTTTGTAAAAAAATATAAAGATAAGTTATATGAGTTTATATTTATAAAATATTCTTGTATAATTTTAATTAAAAAAAATGAAAACAATATCAAGAAATTTTAGAAAGTAAAAATTTTTTGAAATATATTATAAATTTGCAAATTATTTTACATATAACAGAATTTGCTTTTTTTTAAAAAATTTATTTTTTTAATATATTATATATAAATATAAATTATAACTTTTTCAAATGTAAATTTGAAAATTCCATAATATTACAAATATTATACATTTAAAAGTTTAACACTTTAAAAAATTTTCAAAGTTTGATACTATAATAGATTATATTGTAATTAATATTATATTGTCTTACATCCTTCTTTATGATTTTTTTTATTTGTATTTGTAACATCAGGAAATTTTTTCTAGCAAAACCTTCAAAGATTAATATTAATATAAATATTCTATTATTAATCACTACATTATCCTTTAGAAGTTTTTACTAACTTTTGAAAATTATCAATATTGATATTTTAATATGACAAAATCTTGTAAATATCATCATTTTTGTGATAATTTCATAATAATTTGTATTGGAAATTTTTGATAAAATCTGCTTATATTAAATATTTGTAATGTATTATTTCATAAAATTTCAATAGTTATCACTTGTATTAAATTTTCGTAAATCTCAGTACATTTATTTTCATTATATTTTGTATATATTTATATTATAGTAATTTTAATTAACATTACACTATTAACAATATCTTTCAAAGTTTATTGTAATAATTTTAATTGAAATTACATTGTTAATAATTTTCTTTAAAGTTTATTGTAATGATTTTAATTAATATTATATTGTTAACAATATCCTTTAAAATTTATCATCCTGTTAACTATTGTTTTCAAAGGTTAACATTTTTTATTTGTATAATAAGATCAGTTTCTCATTGTATATTTATCTTTCTATATTTAATTAATATTTATTGTTATATCAAATATATCAGAATTCAATATATATTTAATAATATTTATTGACTTACGTCAATTTTATTTTATAACTTTAACAAGTAAATAAAAATATTTTATACTTTGTTTATTTTCAAAAATAACTTATTAACATACACTTACAAAATACTTCAAAATGGTATTTTGTTTTTATATATCAGATAATTCTAAATATATCTAATAATATTTATTGACTTATGTTAATTTTATTTTATAACTTTAACAAATAAATAAATATATTTTATACTTTGTTTACTTTCAGAAAATAACTCGTTAATTTTAACATACATTTATGAAACATTTTGAAATGAAATATTTCTATATTTTTTTATAATTTATTTTATTATTATGTTATTATTTGATTTATAACATATATAACAAATAAAATATATTTAGATACTTTCTAAGAAACTTGAATTAATAAGTAATTTCAATAAAGTTATAAAGTAAAAAATAAGAACTTTAATTTAAGGTATTTCAGATTTCTTGAAGAATTCATTTTATTAAATAATTGTATTAAGGTTTTATATAATATTTAAAATATAAAAAATTCTTTCTTCATTAAAATATTTATGTCAAAAATATATCAAATAATATAATATTACAGAAAATAGAAATTAATGTTAATGTTTAGAAATTGTTTGAAATATTGAACTACTTAATTAAAGTAAAAAAATTAGTAATAAATAGAATAAAAAAAAAAATAATATAAAATATGTTTATTATTACTTTTTAATAATAAAAACCAATAATAAATTATATATAAGTAATAAAATATTACAAAATAAAATTTTTATAATAAAATAATTAAATTTGAAATAGTTCGAAAATGATAAACTTAAAACAAAATATATTAAAATACTAACCATTAAATTTTAAAAGTTTATGCTAATATCAAAAAATATAATAATAAACTTTGAAAGTTTTTGATTTTACAATAATACATATCGAAATTTACAGTAGATTCTAAATTCAGAAGTTTACAATACAAATAATGATCTTTGAAATCTAATGTTACAATATATTTTGAAACTTCCATATTAATATAATTATTATGAAAGTTTTATTTATACAAAAATTTTCTGTTATATAATTTATTAAATTTGAAATTTTTTTATATTATAGATTTTTAAAATTTATTTTGATTTTCTTTACATATTTATATTATTATTATAATAAAAAAATAAAATTAAAAATTACTAAAATATAATTTATTTTGTTTTATTTATTTACAAAGAAGTACTTGGACCTTTATGTATTATTCTATTAATTTATCTTCTAGTCACTCTTTCTCTCTTTCAAATATTAACTTTTTAACTATTGTATTAGGTTATGCTATTCATTAATTATTTTAATTTGTTATTATTTAATTTAAAATTTTATTAAATATTATTATATATATAATTTTATAATTTATAATTATGTATATTTATTTATGAAATATTTATTAGTTTTGTCAAAATGGAAAACTATATTATTTTACTAATTTTAACAAAAATAATTATATAAATTTAAATTCTTTTATAATACAATATATAATATAAAATAATATCTTATAATATAATTAAAATATAAATTTATTTACAAAATATTTATTATCAGTAGAAAGGATAACTTTCTATAGTAGTAGGTTAAGCTGTAATTTTTAACTTAATCAGATTTTATTCTTTATATATTTCTTTATTAATTTATAATTAATGAATAAGGTCGAGACCTCGCTAGTTCAGTTAAATTACAAAATATTTATTAGTTCTATCAAATTGTGAAATTATATAAATTATATTTTCAATTACTTCAATTTTTATAAACTTAAAATCATACCATTGTACAAGTGCAAGATGTAATGGTGATTTATTCAATAATATTACTTCTATTATTAATAATGTCTAAATAAATAAAAAGTATATTTAATTATCTTTTATATTTATTATAACAATCATTTAAAGTTATATTGTAATTAATATATACTTGTGCATAACAAGTTCCACTATCTGACAGATATTTAGAATGTTCCTCACTATTCATATTAACAGAAATATTACTAAACCATGATTAATTGTGAAATTTATTTGTTGCACATAAAATGACATCATTTTTCAATATAACAGATCCAAATATTTTTATTTGACACTTTGTAAAAGTTATATTAAATATACTAAGATATAAATTCAAATACTCGTTAAAATTGACAAAACCTTTTATCATATTTTTATTAAAATTCAGGTTATCTTTATTTTGATCAATAATGAATTCTGAAATATCAAAATCAAATAATTTTGTAATATAAATGTCAAAATCAAATAGTTTTGTAATATATATGAAAGACACTGGAGTTTTAGGTTTCTTTTTTATACAAGTTCATAAAATAATTACTTGACATAAAATTTAAAATTTAAAAATTGGTAAATTTCAAAATATTATTTAAAATATTTCATAATTAATTGCTTAAAAATAATCTTTTTTAAATGATTAATTATTAAATCATCTAAAAATATTATTTTTAGTAATTAATTATTAAATTAATTAAAAAATATTATTTTTAATCTATAAATTGTCTAAAAATATTATTTTTAAGTGATTAATTAAAAATATTATTTTTAGACAGTTTAATAATATTATTATTAAATCATCTAATATTATTTTAAATTACTTAAAAAATAATATTTTTAAATGATTTAATAAATATTATTAATTTTTTATAAGTTTACATCAACTTTCACCAAGATTTATAAGTTTATATTAAAGCTCAAGAGTCCATATTAAGGCTCACGAGCTCATATTAAAGCTTGAGAGCCAAGCCAAGTTCAAATTATATGGACTTGACCTATGGGGAGCTTTACACTAAATATAAAATTCAATTCTAGAACAATAACATAAAATAATGATATGTTATCAACCATAAAAAAGTTTTTCTTAAAATAAAAATGGTTTGATTCCAAAAATAGTAAAGATAACTAATAATAAACAATGGTCAAAAGACTTGTATTAATTAACTTTTATAACAAGAGATCTTTTAGGAAAAAAAGTTTTCCTAATAATGTATTGAAGTCAGGATTTTAAAAAAATTGATATTTAATTTATATTAAATTTTGATTATTTACTTATTTCTATTCTTATTGTCTGTTTTCAATATTTTCACCATCACCACCACCAAAAATACTTCCAAAAACATTATTATTATTATTACTATTATTACTAGCTAAAATACCACCAATACCACCAATACTACCAATTCCTCCAATTCCACCAGTACTAAAAATACTATCATTTCCAAAATGACTAATATCAATCCAAAGACCACCACAAACACAAGATCTAGCATAACTCTTTGCCCACTGAGTTGTTCCTTGTACTACATCTCTTAATGCAGATTTATGACCACATCTATAGTAAATTAATAATACAATATAAATAATATAATATAATAATATAATGATATAATATAATATAATAATATATAATTACCTAATACAAACTCTATCCATAAGATTTCTTGATTTTAATATAATATCCACAGATTCTGATTCAACCCATCTAGTATCATAACTATATAATTTAACTTTATTAACACTATGAAAATTAGTTTTATAAATTTGTTCAATTTCTTTAAGTGTTCCTTGTAATGAAGTAGGTAATACTGAATGTAGAATTAATTTATATATTGTTCTTTGACGATCCGAGACATCTATAATGTATAATGTTTATAATGTTGATGTAAAATGTTAAATATAAATATAAATATAAATATAAGATAATAAATTATAGATAATGTTAATATAGAAAATATAGTAAATATAATAAACCATAATAAAAATATTACCTTGCATAGTCTTTTCAATGACAGTACTAGATTCATTCATGAAAGAATTCATTAAATCTAATTTTAATGGCCACCTTTCAAATGAATATTCTAATGTTTTATTCATCTCTTGTATGACAGAATCTTTAGGATTATTAATGGCTAATTGTGAAATGTAATCTTTAAATTTTTCAACGAATGATAAAAGATTTTTTAACGCCGATCGACTTATTGTGTGATATAATAATACGATATGAGATTTTTCACTGGCCAATACTCGTCCTTGTTTATAAGTAGCATATAATAAATATATATTTCGAATGATGTATACAAAGAAATCTAGAATCCATTCGGTAAGTGATACTAGTGATTGTAGTGAATCTAAAATGATTATTAAATGATTATTAATTAATTAAATAATATAATTAAATAATAAGATTATTTCAATTTGATCATCATATAATTATTAAATGATCATCAAATGATTATTAAATATGTAAATTTATACAAACCCATAACAAAAGTTTTATCAAAAGTATAGCAATTCTTAAATATAATTTCCAACGATCGTAAATGTAACACACTTAAAATATTAAAATAAGTAATATAATCACGTTCACATGATTTTAACAAAGAAAGTTGTAATCCGAATAATCTAATTAAGAAATCTGATGAAGTGGATGTTTCAAATCCATTGGGAAATACTCCTGATATATTGGTAAATGTTTCTTCGAGAATTTGTTCCAGAAAATCTATAATAATAAGAATATTATTATTATTATTATTATTATTATTATTATTGTTATTATTATTATTATTGTTTCTCGCACACCTTTCTTTAAAGTACTAGAAAGTTTTTTTATAATATTTTCTAAATCCGTGTGATCCATATTATTAAGAATACATAATGTTAACTTATTGGCACATGCACTCATTACCCATACACAATCTATTATGTAATAGAATAAGATAATAAAATAGAATAAGATTATATAAAATATAAGATTATAAGAATATAAGAGAAAATGAAATAATAAGAAACTAAAATATACTCACCCATAACATCAATATTTGATTGAAATGATGCCCAATTTAAATCGGCCATGTCAAGACAATCAAGATTTCCTGAATATCTTTTACAAAGTAATAAAGTACCATTAGGTGATGTAACAAATTCTGTAATAGCTAATTATTATTATGAAAGTTGAAAATAATAATAATAAGTAATGATAATAGGTAATGATAAGTAACAATAAGTAATGATAATAGGTAATGATAAGTAATAATACCATTCATAGTTGAAAATTTATCATTTTCATTATTTTGATGATGAAAAGAGGAAGAAGAGGAAGAGGAGGAAGAGGAGGAAGAAAAGGAAGAAGAAGGTATCCAAGAACTATAAGTGGGAAATTTGTAATCTTTAAATAACTTTATTGGATTTTGATCCGTTGGATTGAGCACTTGTAATGTATTACTATAATAACAATATATATATATATATATATAATAATTAGAATATATAAAATATATGGAATATAGAATAATTATGTTTAAATAAAGTTAGAAATAATCATTGCTGTAATAATAATAATAATTATTATTATCTCACTTATATTTATTAATTACCAATCACGAAATTGCATCTGACCATCACTAAAGCCTAGAAAAAGTTGATATTCATGTATCCAAATATTTGTAATTAGTTTTTGAGGTAAATGTGTTCCTGTTATAAATCTTATATTCTACATTTTAATAGATTAAGATAAAATAAATATTATTAACTAATAGAATGAATAAATATTAATAAATAATAATAAATATATATTAATTTGAGAAATAAAATAATAATTACAAATTCATTTATATCATTCTTGTCTTGAGATTCTGTCATTTGTTCCAATTTCCACATTGCTAAATCACTATTAAATATTACTGAATTTTCTTCAACTTTTCTCTCCACTGTTACAATTATTAATCTAATTTCATTATTTTTATTATTACTTTTCTTAATATTGCTATTCTTAATAAAACTGTTATTATTATTATTGTTGTTGTTGTTATTGCTATTAATACTGTTATTATTACTATTACCATTACCAACACTATTGTTGTTGTTGTTATTACTTTTATTATTATTATTATTATTATTATTATTATTGCTATTGGAATTTGATAATAATTTTAAATGTAATATGGGTGATCGATCGATGGTTGATAATTGTTCATTATTATTAATTTGTGTGGTAAGGTGAATGTTACCAATTGGTCGACAATTAACTTGTAATTTTAACATATCAACTTTAATTTCATGAAATATTATAACTTTAGGATAATGTTCTGGACTATAAGTTGTTAAAATATAATTTCCGTCTATTTTTTTTTTTTTTCAATATAATCAATGAAATATGAAATTAAAGTATTAGATTTTAAATTAAAATATATTTAATTAAATTAAATTAAACAATTACCATTATTTATTATTATATCTGCATGTGATATACGACTATTGTTATATCGTAATTCCGTACTAAATTTCGAAAATTGTTTCTTGCCTTTTTGATACCAAACACTGACCTGAAAAATAATATTTTAATATTAAATATAATATAATATAATATAATATAATATAATCTATAACTTTACCTTTCCATCTGTAGTAACCGTTATAAATGATAATTCTCCAAATTGATTTCTAGGTCCTTTAAAATTACCTCGCTTATATCTAGTTTCCGTTGTTCTTGAATACATTCTAACACAATCTAACCATAAAAATATAATCACACTCTCTCTTAAATTAACATCACAAATACATTTCCATCTATTAACAAAATTATTCATGATCCAAATAGATATTTTTCCTCGTTGATCAATTAATGCTAACGCGGATCCCATCTGATTCCATATTAAATCAGTTATTATTTCTCCTATTTTATGATGATGTTCTAATCCTTCTAATGGATAGAAATCATTTTTCGACGTAAATGACCAAGCAGGTTTATTTCCATCACCACCACTACCTCCTGATATTCCTCCACCTAATCCTGGTAAAGAAGATAATGTTGTTGTTGTTGTTTTTTTTGTTAAGGTTGATTTTTGTGAAAGTCGACTTGGAATAAATACTCCAACATTCGGTAATATTACTCCAATGTTATTATAACTATTAATCTTATTATTATTATTATTATTATTATTATTGGTTTGTGACCAAGCTATCATATTTTGAGGTGACCATGCTACTTGTCTATTTTATTAATAATTATAATTATAATTATTTATAATTATTAAATTTAATTATTAATTTTATTAACAAAATTAATTATTAATTTAATGAATCATTTTATTAATTTATATAATTATTTCTTACCTATAGGCTTTTCGATAACAAAGTTCATAATAAATCTTGTCTGCTTCGAATTCTTGTGTGGACCACATTACGTTGTTACTACTATTTGTTAATGTTACTATTTACTAAGATAAAAGATATAATTTATTTATAATGCGGAAGTGCTTAACGTTGCACAAATATTTTTGATATAAGTATAACATAAAAATTTCTTTTTTTAATGTAAAATAACGCAAAATTTTATTATGAAAACCTACTTTGAGTCATTAATTAAAATTGTTCAAATGTAAAATGTACAAATCTAATTGTTGAAATGCGTTAAAGCATTTTAAAAAAATAATTTTTATGTGAAAGTGAGCTATTTTTACATTTTATTGTTAAACTCGAGAATAAAATGTCAAATTTTAAAAAACTGGAATAATAAACTATACTAACTATCTTCATTATATTTACAGCTAAGATCAGGAAAAGTTTACATTATTTAAATCATTTAGATAATTAAAATAGAAACAAATATCTGAAAAAAATATCTACAATGTGTTTAATAAAAAAAATTTGTAAATTGTCTATAGAAAAAAAAAAATTCAAATAATGCGCAATAAAAAAGATTATTTAGTTTTCATTCATTTACAATTTATATATTTGACAAAGGTATTAAGGGATTCCAAAAAAGATAATAAAAATCATTCAAAGGACGTATACAATTATACAATACTTTTGTTTCGTGTAATACAGTGAATAGAGAGTGAATAGAGAATAAATAAGGAATGATGCATAAGTAATTATTCATACATTAATAAAAATTTCCAAATATTAGGATTCTTCTAACGACCAAACAAAGATGCCCATTGATTGGGAATGGTCCAACCGTGACTATTCGCTACTCTTATATATGCGTCAATAGCTTCCTATAAATTGAAAATTTTAAGAATTTAATTTGTTACTTATTTTTTACTTATTTTAAAGATGATCAATTAATCTTATTAATCTTAAATAATCTTACATTAGCACTATATTCACTATTCCAATTGCGATCTAATCTAGCTGGTCTTGGATCCCGTGAACTCAAAGCCATTTTAACCTAGACGAAAAAAAAATTGATTATTCTAGAAGATTTAATTTGATAAATTCAAGAAACTTCAAAAATAAATAATACCTGTAATAAGACAGCCTCGATTGTGTATGCCGATGACCATCCAGCTCTAGCTTCAGCAGCATTTCCAAGGGTTAAAAGATCCATGCAGATTGAACCACCACTAGTGACCTTTTAAAGATTCAATTGATCAAAGATAGTTATCAAAGATTTCAGTATGTCAATTTTCAAATAATTCAAATAATTCAAATAATTTAAATATTTCATTTCTTACATGTCCCCCACCACCATCCATGAATTTTAAAAGTCTTGGTCTGATTACACGTATATAACTTAATAATGAAAAAAAAAAATTTAATATTATAAAATTATAATATATTTATATAATAATAAATTTAGATAATAACTTACGGTGGTACAAACGGAAAGTCAGGTGCAAATCTTACTTCTAAATCGATAGATTTTACCTTATATCTCTCCATATCTTCAGCTAATGGTAAACTTGGATCAAAATCTGTCAATTGCACCACCTAAGAATGATAATAAAACGTGTTAATAAAATTATTATTGATAAATAAATAAATTAAAAAATTAAATTTATACAAAATAATAATATAAATAATCCAACCCATTGATAAAGAGAAGTCATTTTTTCAGTATCCACATAAAAACCAAGATCATCATGAATTCCTGACTGCTGTTTATTATATATCGTTTTAAATTCACTATAAATTCGTTGGGTTGCAGCCTTTGAAGATTCAACTAAAATGTAATTAAAAAAAATAAAAAATAAAAATAAAATATAATATAATAAATCAAAATATAATAATAATAAATAAATAAATATATATAATAATAATAATAATAAAACCATGATAAAAATATAAATAATATGGATTGATTTGACTTTTCTAAAAATCACCTGTGACCATTTAAGGCTAAACATATACCAAAATAGGCAAGTGTCTTAACTAAATGGTAAATTACGTGATTTATGGAAGAGTCAAATCATTCCATATGCTTAATTCCAAATCTTACCAGGCAATGGCAATAATGTAGGATCAAAATCTTCATCCACTTAATAATATTAAAAATAAAAAAAATAAAAAATATAATTAAAAGAAATAATATATCAAAATAATATGTCGAAAATAATATATAATTTTGTAAATAAGTATAATCACATGTTAGATCTATCACTTCATTTTTTTTTTCTGCTTCAGTAAATTGAAAATTTTCATCTTCAAAATAGTCATTTTCATCGTCTGTATCTTCCGTTTCGTCTTCATCATCTAAAGTATCCTCGTTAATATCATATAACATCGATCCATTATTATTAAAATCTATAGATCCAACTGAATCTTTTACTATTTCAATTTCATCTGATGGAACATAAACAAATTGACATATTCCAATTGAACTTCCATCAGGAATTTCATTATTAATTATAGAATAATCCCGTTTTGGAATTTGTAATGGTTGACCATTTAACCAAACTGGACAATATAGACTATCTAACATTATAAAATTATTATTATCTCTTCTATTACTACGTTGAGTAATGGAATTTGTAATAACTGGATGTGGAAAAGCAGCATAATTGATATGATTCAAATTACGAATATAATTAATTGGCATTTGTGGTGGAATATTTGAAATATTATTAGATGACCAATCATCTTCACTATTTTCATTATTTTCATCATTTGTTTCTGATGGATCTCTTAAACATTCTACAAATAAAAATCGAGTAGTAATCCAATTCTCATCTGAAACTACCAAATGGGGACTTGTGCTGATAATCATAAATATATAAATTTATATAAATTTAGAGAAATAATTAATTTATTAATTTATTAATAATTTGAATTTAGGAAATTTTATTACCTTTTGAATTCATTTGGTCTATTCACTATTTCACACAAAGCCATACATTTTTGAACCATCAACATTGAATTTTTCCATGTACCAATTTCGTATCGATGATAACCTCCCCCAGCATATGATGCGGATGTTGCAGCCTGAAGAGAATGATAAACTCCGTCTCCATATGCTCTTCCATGTACAATTTTCTTCCAGTTCAATGATGTCCTAATTTTAGATATAATAAATATAATGAAAAGATTAAAATTTTAGATTCACCTAAAAAGATTAAGACTAAACAAGACAAAGAATAAAAGATACACATAGAAATTAATTTTTTACCGAATAATTGAATGCCAATTCTGCAGTGGAGATCCATGAAAAGCAAATAATTCACCCTTTGCTAACAAAATATTTTTTTTTAAAAAAAAAGAACTCGGTGTTATAAATTAAAAGCAATTTTAACGAGATAGAGAATATATATATATATATATATACACACATATATTAAGAAAATAATTTTAACTAACATTGACCGCTAAATTCATTATTTAATTTTTCTTTTTCTTGTTGGAATATTTCTTCTTTTTCTGGAGAACTCATTATCATAATAAATTGTTTCCAAGTTCCAAAATTTGAATTGTTAGTTTCATTAAATTGAACTTTCTCTTCCTCTGATTCCAATAATCGTAAATGTGTTCTATTCGATGAAATTATCCATGATAATAATGGAAAACATAAAATATCCAACTTATCAAGTTCTTGTTTAAGAATTTTCTTTTTAGCATATTGAACCATATTATTTACTGATGGTAATTTATCAATAATATTATACAAAAGTTTATAATTTGGTGTCCCATCGTGACTTAAAAAATTTTTTTCACTTCTACGATATAATCGAAATGGTAAATATACATTTCGGCTTTTAACTGCTGATGCCGGTACTGAAATCTGAAAATCAATGACTAAATAAGTTGGCGAAACATCTAAAACTCGAACTGTTGATGTCGAACTACTACGATTAACTGTAAATGTTTTTCCTGTCTCTGGGTTAAAAACTTCTAATAAATCATTAACCATAGCTTGATGATCAAATTTTCTCCATCCACAAACTTTATAACCTTTTTCAAATGGTTGACCAATTGTTCCTTGGTTACCTTCCCAATTTACTTCTAGTGAATTTTGAATTTCAAGTTTAGTGGTTGTAGTAACTCCAATAGCTCGAGAAGGACATGGATTAAGAATTTGTGCATTAATTGCAACATGACATAATGATATCAATAAATCTACTACAACTGGACTACTAACTAATACTGCTTCGAAGAGATTGCCTAAACCTACAAGTGCTTGATGTTGACATAATGGTGTTCCACATACAAAAGGTCTAATAGATGACACTGACTCAGTATGAGAAAAATGACACGTTAGACAATATTTTGTTGATAATAAAATTCTTCGACGAAGAAAACGTAAAATTAATAAAAGAAAATTTTGATTTTTTGAGGCTGTATTAGATTCCACTTCCTCTGATTCAAGATAACATAACACTCTATGATGAATTTCATCTTGTGTTAAACATTCATTAATCTCATTTGGGAGTAGTTCATTTCTATAACTGAGAAAATTCGATTCTAATTCTTTGCTTCTTCTATAATCCGCATATTCCGCTCCTGACCATCCGATACCAAACCACAATCGATCGCATAACATATCCATAAATTTGTCACGTAAGAGTTCTGTCAAGGTCCAAGAAAGTACAAAATGATCACTCTCTAAAGAATCATCTTTATGGTGTGACTGACTTGGCAATCCTTTTGGTTGGGATGATGTCAACACCGTAAACTGAATTGGATATAATCTTTTCAATTCATCTTTTATCGTCTTGAAATCCGCTTCTTTTGTATAATTTCGACACGCTTCTAAATCAATATATTGGGGAGAAAATTGCATTATGCATACTAAGTATCTAAAAAATTAAAAACAAAAGATGTCGAAATTAAGGAAACAAGCATTTTGATTATCCTAAAATTATGATATACAGAAATCTTTACCGATCTTGGTCAAGATTCCATGCTTCATAGGCTTCTAGAGATAGTCCAAGGCGTTTTACTGGCAAAGAAACTACTACTTTAAATCCAATTTCATCAGCACAAAGAAGTTCGGCATTATAGCTTTAGAAAAAATTTCAATACTTAATAAGTTTTTAATAAGTTCATTTTAAAACTTAAAAACTTAATGAATGAAAATTAAATTATTATTACTGAAAGTGGTTCACTTCGTTCAAATCTCTAGTCAATAAAACAATAGGTTTTTGGACATTCGATTCTGGACTCTTATGAATATTAGTTGGGATTGTTGAAGAGCTTACAAAAGAACGTGAAAATTTGCTTAAATAGCTCATTGAAAGTTCCCTTGGAAGAGCAAGCTTGAAAAGATCACAAAGTTTTGGAACTATTGTAGCAACAATTTCGCTTACGGATTTGTTATTGACATTAACATTTGTTAAGCATTGCGCCGCTATATATAGACATTAGTATTAATAAAATTTATTTTTTTAAAAAAAAATAACTAACATAGGATAAAAAAAGATGGATTGCCTGCTTCTGCGTCTTCATCGAAGGCATTGTCTATGCAAATAAACGCGGTGAAATCGTTCGGATAAAATTTTAATTCTTGAAAAAAGAACCAAATCAATGATTTTAATCAATTATTTTTTAATCAATCATGAAATATATGAATATATAAAGTATAATATGAAACATATTATAAATCGTAATAAAGGATATCTACCATTAACGAATATTTGTACTGTGAAAGATTTTCCGGTTTTGTACGTAAATTTGAAACTTAATTCCGGATCCCGAAAATCAAAGTCTTTAAAGAAAGAATCAAATAATTTGAATAACTTGATTATAACGTGAAACATTTTTGGTCAAGTAATAACGTTAGCAAACCAATCAAACTAATCGAAACGTGAATATTTTTACCTTTCACAAGTGCAGCAGTTTTTGGATTTAATCCACGAAAGTGATCCTTAAGTGTTTTAACATCTTGAATAAATTCTTTTCGTCCCATACTTTGTCGTTGTGGTATTTAAAGAATCAAAATAATTTAAACGCTTAATGCAAAAGTATTAAAAGTATTTTATATATTGAATATTTGTTTTTCTCGCTTTATTTTACCTTTATTAATAAATTTAAGAATTTAGACGTGTTTCGATTGAATTTCTTTAATATTGTGAATAAATTTTGGGAATTCGTAAAAAGCTTCGTATTACAAAAGCATTCAACAAAATATTATTTATCAAATACCTTAAACCAGGAATTTTATGCAATCCAGCTATATAATTTTATGAATATAAACAAGAACAACTTAAGAATGTTAAAAAGAACCTTTATTTTAAATAAAATTAGAAAATGAAAGTTCTAAGAGATGTAATGTTCGTGGAAACTCTGAATTCAATAATCCGAAAACTCCGGAAAACCTAATATATATAAATTACGACTATTAAACTTTTAAATTTTAATGCACGTGGAGACATTCCAATAAAAATGATCTTTGTGATACTAAAAATGAGCGGAGTCTAACTTTTAAAGAGAACAAAAAATGATCTCGATCTCAATAATATGACGTGATCTCGAATATCTTCAGAACAATTTTCATGCAATTAAAGAAATTTTTTATTGGTCTGACTTAAAGTTCAAAGTTAAAAGCTGATCTGTTATATTATTGGTAGCTTGCATCAGGTTTACCCAAGGTCCACCCTTCACGTGATAATATTGGTTTCGTGATAAAATTTTCGTGTTACAACCAATTTTATTGGTAGACGTAATCACGTGCAAAATTAGCATAAACGATGTGTAATTAATAACAAAAATTTATTTGTTCACATTATAATTTCACAAATTATATTAATATCTCACCCCATCTTATAAGCTTAATAAAAGGGATTATAATTTCCAAAAAAATACCTCAAAATCAACATAAATTATTACAAATTAATTAATTTAAAGTATTACATATACACCATTCTTTGAGGTGATGGACTTTTAGATAATGAAACTTGACTTTTAGTTTCATCTGATGATTCGTTCTCAAATGTTGAAGTTGATAGAACTTCAGCATTTCTCTCTCCTTGTTCTTTTTCAAAATTGTCCCCAGTTTCCATCACTTCGAAATTACCATCGTCAACAGCCCCTGACACAGGAGTTGACACCGTATTTTCATCTTCGGTATCTTCAACTAATCCACTTCCATTTCTAATTGTCATTAATGATTCAGGAGTAGTCAATACACTCCTTAATGACTCCTCATTTTCGTTTTGTCGGTGCACTTCAACATTACTTTGTTGATTATTTATCGGTTCATCTTCATTATCTTTATTATTTTCATTATCTCCATTATCTTTATTATCTTTATTATTATTTTCATTATCTTTACTATCTTTATTATCTTTATTATCTTCATTATCTTCATTATCTTTATTATCTTCATTATCTTTATTATCTTTATTATCTTCATTATCTTTATTATTTTTATTATCTTTATTATCTTTATTATCTTCAAATTGATTAGTATAAGTGTCCACGCATAAGTTTGACGTAGTTTCATTTTTTACATTTGGAGAGATAATCCTTTCATTGTTGTCGTATGAAATTGGTTGGTTATTTGAATTTAAAATCATTTCCGCTGCTAATGAAAGATTGTCTAATCCGGAATAATTAGTCTGTTTGATTTGAGACATTGGGAAGAAAGATGACGATCCTATTGGTGCATATGATGATGATACAGCGAAATGATAAGGTGAAATTTCGGGGGGAATATTTGTGACAGTACTATCATATTGAATCGATATATTTTGCATTTGATTCTGATTAGTCATCGGGGAAAACGTGTAAGTTGGATATATGTGATAAGAGGAAATTGTGGAACTCGTTTGAATAGGTGGTGTGTAGACGTCATTGCTTTGCGATGAGAGTATTGATGGATAATTTGAGTGAATAGTGTTTGTAGTGTTTTCTTGTATTGTAGAAACCATCGTTTTTGATTTTTGTATTGTGGGCATTCTTGTATTTGTTTGTGCACCTTCCTAATAAACAAAAAATTATAAAAGAATATGAAATATATATATATATATATAAAGATATCTAAACTTTTATATATTTTACTCACATTAATTATCTGAGTAGCATTACCATACAGATAATTGTTATTATATGTTACATAACCATTAGTTAACTGTCGATCTGATTGGTGAAGGTTCTAATTTTTTAAATGTCAATATTTATATTTCTTTCTTTTTATAATTTAAGACATAATTTAGACTATTATTTCTTACCCTTCCTCTTATATCCTTTAAATCCTTTGAATCCTTTAAATGACTTCGTTCTCTCCTCTTTGATCGCTGTATAATATAATAAACAACCTTTCGTTCAATTTGCGTTTTGAATACATTAATTCATTAAATTAAACTGAGAAGAAATTAACAAACTAACGTGTCTAGCATAAATACTTTCTAATTTTGACGTGGTTTCTCTGAGTCTTTGGTTGAGAATTCTTGCATCTTCTTGAAGTAATCGTAATTCCATATTATGTTTTACAGCCATTTCTTCTTCCTAAAAATTATATTATAATCTCATTCACTTTATACTAGAACTTATAAAATATAAAATTTTACGAACATAATTCTTACTCGCATAGTATGATATCTATGTATCCCCTCAACATGTTCATTTGCTTTCTTTAATTTATCATCTAAATCTTTTATCTAAAAGAAAATATTAAATTAAAAACGGAGAGAAAAATTGTAAGAATTGTAAGAATTGTAAAATGGTAAAAATTTTAAAAACAAACCCTTTCTTCATACTCATTGGTACGTTCGATGATTGATTCACAATTCCGAATTTGATTTATTGTTTCTTTCAACTATTTCGAAAAAGCATTAGAATAAATATGCAAAATTATATTTTGGATTGATTAAGCATTTACCAAATTTTTTGCATTTTCTGCGTCAAGATTATCTATGCAACTTGATTCCAGCGAAGAAAATCGGCGAAGGTTATTATTTAGAATATCACCCTATATTTTAATATATTTTTAATATATTTTAATATATCTTTAATATATTTTTTAATATATTTTTATTGTTATTGTTATAAAACTTTTAAATATATAAATAAATATTAATTAAATTAGTAAAAACAAAATACCTCGGATCGATTTGTTATTTGATTTTTCGAATCTTGGACGGTGACTGAAGATAATGGCATTGGTTCACTGATAGGTGAATGCATGCCTATACTTGGACTCGCTGAATTTATAAATTTAATATTAATACTATTCATATTATCTTTAATTTTGTATTATCCTTTTAAACATATAATTTACATAATTTGACATAATTTACATAATTTATATATTTTACATATTTTTACATATTTATAGATTCCCAACCTCCTAACATTCGGTTTTGTGCATCTAAATCTTCGTCAGGCAACAATACTAAATCAATTTTCCACCTTGCGTGCTCACCCCATATAGCCACCTATAGAATCACGTTTAAAATAACGGTAAAAGTTGATATGAAGTTAATATAAGTTGATATAAATTATACATTTTTAAATTGATTCAGAATAATAATAAATCTTCTTTGGATATTAAATTTAAATACAAATGGTCAAACTTGTTTAAAATTAATCTTTACGAACAAAATAGAGTTTCCAAATAAAGGAACAGTCAAAAAAGCCAAGAAGCTTTCAATGCTTTAAATATAATTATAGTCATAATATATAAACGTTTAGGTATATTGATAAATCTGGTGAAATCTGCACTAAGGAATTTAGTCATTGAAAGTATTATTGAAATTACCTGTCTCTTAACTGCTTCAAAAATATTATCCAAATGTTTAATAGTTGCTTGTGGTAACGGTTTTATTTCCGCGACGTTTTGAGAAGAGGTTGATAGAATATTAGTTATAGGTTCATTTTGAAGTGGTTGTGAAGCCATTGTATTTACAGGAATTTGGTAAGAAAGAGCAGACATTTTTAATGGTAATATGTGTATGAATGTGAATCGATTGGAAAAAAAAAGGGAGAAAGCTACTTTTATTAAATTAGACGGTCTGTTACGGTGTTGGCTGAAAATCCCTATATAATGTTCGTGTTTTATCACGTGCTTGGCCCGTATTTATCGCGTTTGATGTATCTTTTTTGGGTAAAGTTTTTTTTTTCATTAGAAAAATTAGATCAAATAAAAAATTCCATACACGTGATAAGATACACCTGATTACCGCAGTGACATTTTATAATAATAATAATAAATAAATATTTGCTAATACAATATTTGTAATTTTTGTAATAACATTTTTAATATATGAAGTTGTCAATATGTAAAGTGTTATAATTTTATGATTTTTCATTGTTCCTTAATTCATATATAACACTATATAAACTTTATTAAAAAGTATATCTTACAAATGTGAAAAGATATATAACACTGAAATAGTATTTAAAATTATAATTTACAATAATTTACCAATCAAGATTAATAATATCTAATTTATGCATCATGTGAGATTATTCGTATTCATTACGTTCATTTTTCCGTTGGATTTGATCATCATCGATAAACGTATCTCTAATTTCAGTAGTCATTAATTGGCTATCAAATAAAAGTTTAAAGGGAAACAATGATGTAAAAAATGGATGAAATAAACATTCTGAAGGAGTTGGCCTTTTTATCGGATCATAATTAAATATATAGTCGATGAAGCCAACAAAATTAATATCACGTGTATTAAGTAATCTACGAATGTTTTCCATTCTTGTGGAATGTGATCTAAAATATAATAATAGAAATATTAATTTGGGTATTAAATTTATAATTATAAAATATATATACATACATATACATATATTAAAATTATTACACATTCTCATTCTCAACAATGTTCCGTGGTTTAATGCTACCATTAGAATTATAATCTGCAAAATATTTTCCAGATTTATATACCGAAACTGGAAGTGGACCCAAAAATTGTTCGATTTCTCTTATAATCCCTAATTTGTTAGAACTATTAAATATTGGACGTCCAAGCCAAATTTGACATATTATGCATCCTAATTATGAAATCAAGTATATAAATAAAATATGTAAATAAAAATAAATTAATAAAAATAAAATAAATAAAAATAAAATAAATAAAAATAAATATATAAAAATAAAAATTATATAAAAATAAAATGTATAAATCAATAAATTATATTGGACTTACCAAATGACCATATATCAATTCCGATTCCAAAAGGTAGTCCCATAATTACCTGAACGACCAAATTTTTTATTTATTTATCCAAATCCAATTCTAACAATTCTAATCTCACATTGAATGAATTACCAAATTTCAAACCTCTGGTGCTCTGTATGAAAGTGTTTGAACATTAAAAGTGTCAAAATATTTATGGGTTTCTTCAATTCTCATCGCATTACCAAAATCAATAACTCGAAGTTCAAGAGATGCAGCTAATCAAATAATTATTATAATTAATTAATTATTATAATTAATTAATTAGAAATAATTAGAAACAATTAGAAATATTTAGAAATAATTAATTAATAATAATTTAATAAATAATTAATTAATAATGATTTGAATTAATTAGTTAAAAATAATAATAATTAGGACTGATTAAATTATACCTGCCGTACAGATTATATTTTCTAATTTGAGATCTGCATGTAAGATTCCCAGTTTTCTTGTATACATCAATGCAATTAAGAGTTGACACGCCAGTTTACGAAGGGCTAATAGTTTATATTGTTCATTCGCCATATGATGAATTTGTGGTACACCTCCTCCATAATAATCAAATACCATACAAAAATGATTTTTAAACATAAATGTATTCAAAAGTCTAATGATATGGGTGTTATCATTAGTTGCCTGTAGATTTAAATAACGAAGCGTTTTGCTCTCCTAATTTATTTTAATTAATTAATTTATTTAATTTAATTTTATTTTATATCGTGAAAAAATAATAATAATAATTATTATTATAAAATATAAATATATAATATAAGTAAATAACAAAAATAAATAATCCGAAACCTGAATGCCAATGGAATTAAATCTGGGAATCATAATTTTAATGGCTACTAGACGTCCCTCAGGATAATAAGTATCCTCAGCACATACTACTTGAGAAAAGGTACCGTTTCCTACTTTGTTAAGTACACGATATCGACGCGCTAAAATTTGGAATTCTTGTCTATTTACTTTGACTTTTAAATTCGTGTTTATGTATGATATATCCAGTTTCTTTTCATATATTTCATTATGTAGAGTTGATAATCCAGCAGTAAGTCGTTGTACTATATTAAAATGAGCAGTTGCTGGTATACAATTTTTAAAAAAATTACGTTGTCCTTGACATTGTTTTTGAGTAAAGTAATGATCTTGAGTGAAAGTGCGAGAAGACATGACGAATACAATATCAATATTTTGGATTTTTGATCCTAATTTATCTATTGTCAAGCAGATCAATTATAATAACAATGAAAATGTAACAATGAAAATAACAATGAAAATAATAATAATAATAATAATAATAATAATAATAATAATAATAATAATAAAATATCTATTATAAATTAAAAGTAAATATTTTTGAGTTCCGAATTTTTATATCATATTATAGAATTCAATGTAAAAGATTCTTTAATAGTTATCAATAAAATTAACATTGTACAAGGTTTCATAATTATTATTGTATATTTATCGTATATTTAAATTTTTTAACGTACAGGCGACACAATAAATAAAGTTATTCTTACAATACATAAGTTGAAGAAATAGATTTCACTCCATCAAATATAATTGTATTATTTATAGGAATATATTGACGAGTAATTAATTTGATGACTTCTTGAGAAACTAATCCACCCATCAATGCTGAAATATTAGGTAATTCGGAACCACCTGCTCTACACCTATAAAAAAGAACGGTTACGATTATCAATGATTATCAATGGAAAAAAAAAAAAAAAAAAGAAAATGTTATTTACATTTCATGAATAAAGTCGTCCAAATGTTCTGGTAAGTTTGTGATCTTCCACTCTTCTAACATTGATTGAACGTTGATTTTTAATTCTTTAAATTCTGTTGTTGACTTCTCACTAGCCGTTTCCTCTGAATTATCTCCATTAAAAAATGTTGCAGCATCTTGAAAATTACTTTATAAATAAGTATATTTATATCTTTACATTCGAACATTTTATATAAAAAAAAAATTATTAATTACCAGGATAACGTTGATGAGATTCATAAAATCTATCAATAGCACGAATGAGAACATAATAAATGATATTTTCTTGTGGATCTTGTATCCGTCGATCTAAAATATTAAAAAATTATCAATTATTATAAATAAATTATAAATAATTATATTTTACTATTAATAATTAAACGTAATTTGTCTTACTAATTTCGGATTTCTTTGGATCACTTATGTATTCTTCTTGTAATGATCGATATCGAATTACTTTAATGTAAGCAGCGTGTTTACAAAAACTATTGATTTCTTCGTCTTGAATAAAATCTGTTGTTCTTCCAATAGAAATTAAAATATCGTTAACTCGAGCACGAACTGCTGCTGCGTCTTCTTTTGCTTTTTGACGATAACTGAAATAAATAATTTAATTTAATTTAATTAAAATCATTTAAAGAAGTGTATAATTATTATAATTATTATAAAAAATAAAATTAATAAATTAAATAAATTAAATAAAATTAATAAATTAAATAAATTAAAAAAAAAAAGTAATAAAATAAATTAAATAAATTAAATAAATTAAATAAATTAAATATATTAAATAAATTAAATATATTAAATTACATAGTTTGCAAGGTAATATATCCTGTAGTATCGGATTTCATATCTGGAACGCTTCCAGCTAATGGTAATAAGCCTTGTCCCTCATTTGTTACGAAATCTCGAATCGCACGTGCAATAATCCAGAAACTTGATGACTTAAATTTTTTATATTTATAATATATATTTATATATATATGATGTAGTGAAGAAATAAAGCACACGATAAATTATTTATTTCTTTGAATAAAATTTGCATACTTTTGTTGTAATATTTTCGCATGCTGGATCATTCAAAATTTCTTGAATATCTTGGGTGATCTTATTAGGTGTACAAGCTTTCCATGCATTAGTTAAAGCTTCACTAAAATTTTCTTCATCAATAGTTCGTTTACCCCTTTCGATAATACTTTGGTATTCTTTTTTTTCGGAATATGTTTTTGGCAAATTTCCATCATGCTTTACAAAAAAAAAAGGGATATGGAAAAAAATATCAAAATTAAAAATAATTATAATTAAGTATAATAAATATAATTAACTATAATAAATATAATTAATTACTTCTCTTTTCCATTGATCCAAATATTTCAATAAAATAATCACATAAGGAATATGTGCATGATCTGTATTATCCAAAGAATCAAAATCTAAATTCTTTGCATATTTTTCAATAGCAGGAAATGGTGTATCAATCCTTAGATCAACAACATTTTCCGGATGTGTCTCAACAACTAAACCAATTCTAAATTAGAATAATAAATAATTAAAATATTTATGAAAATGATTAACATAAATTGTTTTACCTGTATGTTCTGGAACCATAATACGAAAATATCCAATAAATCCGATAGAACGTACTACAATTAATGGGACTTTTGCATTCCATAAAACTTCTGATAATTTTAATAAAAATTTTTCATGAAGTTCAGTAGCTATAACAATTGTAAATTGTAAAAAATATTCAGGCTGGTTTTCAATAAGGACAACAGGATCCTATTAATAAAGTTTTATTGAAATTGTTGAAATTGTTGAAATTTAGTCACGTGAATTTCGCGATCAATGGATTAACAAATGGATTACACGCAATAATATATTTAGACATTTTAACCTCTACAAAATGATATCCTTTAACATCTTCGTTTAATTCTTGTAAAAATTCTGTAACAGCTTGAGCCCTACTAGATCCAATTTTATCCGCATCCAAGAAAAAATTAATCCCAGCATCAGAACCATCTACTCTTTTACCATCAACTACAGTAAATGAACCGATACCTAATTAAATTTAAGATTATAAGTATTATTTTGAAAATAATTAATGTTGACAAATCGTTAAATTAAATTTATAAATACCTGGCAAAATTAAATCTTTTAATATCTCACAACCAGTTGCTGTACCATTGATGAGGCACACCTTAGAAGTTTCGAGAGCTAACTGTCCACTTGCTTGCCATAACCTAAATGACAGTTTTAATAACAGTTTAATAATAACAGTTTAATAACAATTTAAGAGAAGAATATTTAGGTTTCAAAAGTATTTATTGATTTTTTTTTTTTTTTTTTTTTTTTTTTTTTCTGAAAAATTTGAAATAATATCTCGCCACAAATAATTTCATTAAATAACAGTTAATTTCAGTTGAAGGTAGCTAACCGAAGTTGACGATCGTATTTTTGAGTCTTTTTATCAATATTCATTTTCTAAATTTTTTTAATAAACTCGAAATTTCGTTCGTTACTGATGAAATTGTAAAATTCACGTGATTGAATATTTTTGTCTTCTCTACAGTCACATCGTACGAATAGTAATCACATCTACCTTTAAAAATCACATTAGTTCCTTCCTTGTTCCAAATATATATCCAAGATTCCAGTCTAATAAGAAAAACAAGACATAAATTTTAAAAACCATTGTTAAAGAGAAAAGAAAAGAGTGAATTATTTTTTAGATAAATTTATATTTTAAAATGTTCTTCAAACATTTAAGTTTATAACTTGTCCAATTCACAATAACACTTCTCATAAACAATAGAACTCTTACCATTTGAATAAATTTTACAAATGGAAATTTTTTGAAATGTTTAACAAGATAAAATATGTGGTGACAAAAAAAAATAATACAAATATAAAAATTGTTCTTGTGAAAAAAAAAAATAAATAAATAATCGAAAATTCTCACGAGGATCTAAAAATTGGATTTTCATGTCAAACTAAAACTACTAAAAAACATGAGAAGGATTTTCTTAATATATATATATATGTATGTATATTCTACCTCTCGTACTTTTAATATTTTAATATTTTCTTAAATATCGTTCGACAATTGTTTTTCCATATCTATAAAAAACCCATAAATAAATAACGAATGAAAATTCGAAAACCAAAAAAAATATAAAAATAAAAGTTTATTTTTGACCATAAATCATTAACACCTCTATTAATACTCATTAAATGCTAAATACTTAATAAATATTCATTAAATATTTATTAAATACTTTAAATACTTACATTTCATTAAAAATAAAACTTTGATTTTATATTTACCATTTTCGAATCACGAACTATCGGCGGTGGTGGTGGTTGTTGTAGTAGTAGAAAGTTGTGGAGATGTATTTTGAGACAATTTAGTGTTTGAATTTAGTTCAGGATCACCACTTTTTTCTTCAATTTCTGCTTCATGTACCAAGGAACTTTCTTTTACAGGTGATGAATTATGACTAGTTGCTGCGATCGCATTTGCATGAGGAATAGTTTCGGGTGACGGATGCTGAACTCCAACTGGACCTGATGTTTTGCCAGCTTTTGAAAGTGCATAATCACCAGAATCAAAATATTTACGTTCCTAATTTAATAATCAAAAATCAATTATCAATTATATTGTCCTTATAAATATGTTATTCAGATTTTATTACTTTCTTAACCTTAAATTATGTTAAATTACGTTAAAAATTATGTCTCCAATTCCATCTAACCCAACTCTATTATCATTTATATGATATAATTATGAAATAATACGATTCTCGTAATATTTTGTTTAAAAAACATTATCTATACCTTCAATTTGTGACTTAATATATCTTTTCCAGCTGGCAATTTTCCATACATTCGGAAAAGTTTCCTTTCTTCTTCCGATAATTTCTATTAAATAGATGAGAAACCACTTGATTCAATTTCCTTAGACAATAAACTTTATATTTTCCCACGATGTATCCAAATTATATGATTTTGATTTCACTTTGAATTGTTTATACTGTTGATAAGTTGACTTACGTTTAGGTCAATCTTGTTATTTTTTGCTGGAAGCATGTTATCAAACCTTTACTTTCTCTATAAATAATTTTGGTAAAGGAAACTAGAAAAACAAGTAAGGTAAAGTTGTCGTGTATTATACATTTATTGTGAGCATACAAAGTTTAGTTTGTGGTATGATTGGTGGTTTTTTGGGTGCTTGCATAGGTTATGTGGCTTTTTGACATAATTTCATTGAATTGAGTAGCTGAGCCATTTGAGCCACTTATAAATAAGTATGGAAAGTGTTTGTGGATAATTGTGTGGCTTTTCCCTTGTTTATCCAAAATTCACGTGAAAGCGAAGTGGCGTTAAACACAGTCTGGCGCATTTTCAATGAGCATTCTTAACCGCAAAAGCATGAACGAAAGAAAACTTTTATTATTTTAATTATTTCTTTAGCTAACCAAACTTTATATTCAAATTATTCAAATTGATAATAAATATTTTTTGTAATATCTTAATTCCATTTATTAATAATTTTAAAATAATATATACAGAAAAAAATTTAATAATTAATTAATTTAAATATTTCATTTCCCCTTTGATTTATATATTATTTCACTAAAAATTTATATTAAATATTAAATCTAACTGGTTCTAATTAATAGAAGAAAAAAACTTTGAAGTAAATTATGTGAATAAAAAAAAAAGAGTATAAATTAATTACCTTAAGAAGAAACTGTTAATTCACAAGGTCATCCAACAAGAAATAGTACTAGATCGAAATTAATAATAAATTAAAAAAAAGTTAATATAGAATAAACGATTTTAAAAATATAATAGCATTCAATTGATTTACAATTAGTCACATGACTAGTCACCAAAATGACTAATTAATAGATGACAATTATGTTTGTTAAAGCTGTCACTTCATTATCTCCAATTAGATCTAATGTTTGAGGAAGTTTACTTAAAAAAGTATTTTTTATAGTAATAAATTAAAAATAAACTATTTTAGCAGTATAAATAATATTCTAAGTTTTTATTAAAATCATTTATTCTATATTTTTAAAATCATTTATTCTATATTAACTTCTTTTTAATTTATTATTAATTTCAATCTAATACTATTTCTTGTTGGACAACCTTGTGAACTAACAGTTTCTTCTTAAGATAATCAATTTATACTTTTTTTTTATTCACATAATTTACTTTAAAGTTTTTTTCTTCTATTAATTAAAATTAGTTAAATTTAATATTTAGTATAAATTTTTATTAATTTGTAGATATAAAATATAAATATTTAGTGAAATAATATATAAATCAAAGGGAAAATGAAATATTTAAATATATAATCACATAGATAAATCACAAAATATAAATTAATTAATTAATTATTAAATTTTTTTTCTATATATATTATTTTAAAATTATTAATAAATGGAATTAGATATTACAAAAAATATTTATTATCAATTTGAATAATTTGAATATAAATTGTTTGAAGTTTGATTAATTAAAAAAATAATTAAAATAATAAAAATTCATTTTAATCATGTGATATTTGATAATATATATTAACCAATAAAACAAACTTACTTATAAATTTAATATAAATATTTGTATAACATAATAATCAAAATTGTAACTTGTCCTATATTAATTACAAAGGTATTGTTTTTGATTATTTTTTTCAATTAATTATTTTATAATCATATAATTTGTTATTATAAATCATATGATAATGCATATATTAATTATATCACATTACTCAAAAATAAATTTATATTAAAAAATAATACCTTTGTTTCTTAACCTAATCCAAAGTTTAGAATAAGATTCTTATTATAGAATCATGTTTCTATAATTAATTAACAGTTTTATATATTTGATATTTATTTATTACAGTAAATCTTCTATAAATATATTCTCTATAAGGTACCCTTTTATAAATATACTTTATATTAAAAAATAGGACTAAAACTATTTTAAAATTTCTAAACTTTTTAAAATTTTTATTTTGATCTTAAACTTTTTGTTCAAATTTTCTAAACTATCTTAAATCTTCTAAATTATCCTAAATCTTCTAAATTATCTTAAACCTTCTAAACTGTTTTAAACCTCTTAAATTATTCTAAACTTTTTAAATTTTCTAAATTTCTTAAATTATTTTAAATTTTTTAAATTGTTTTAAAATTTTTAAATATTTTAAATTTTTAAGTTGTTCTAAATTATTTTAAATTAAAATATTATATATACTATATTCATATCTAATATGTATATTTGTATATATATTGTTAAAAATAAAAAGTATTTGATTCAATTTTAATTTTTTCAAGTTTTAATTATATTTAACTCAATAATTATATTAATTTATTATATAAAAATAAAAATTTTGTTTAACTCAATTTCAATTTTTTTAATTTTTAATTTAATTTAATAGTTTTGATGACATGTATATATATTTGTATATGTTTTATTTAATCACTGAGTTTATAATTATCATTTTATAAATTTGATATATAATTTTGAATTAGAATTAAATAATAAAAAATAATTTTTACTAAGATATTTTTAATATTATTTGAAAAATTTTATTTTTAATTTTATAGTTAAAATTAAATTATCTTTTAAAATTATTATTTATTCAGTTATTACTATTGTTACACCAATGTGTGAACAAGGGTCTGAAGGATAACTAATATACTTTAACTAAACTAACTTAAACTACTTAAATAATTCTCAGAATTTCTCGA